AGATTGTTCTTCTTCTTTCGTTCTTATTGCTGATACTCAAAGAGTATAAGGGTATATACGATTCGGGTAGATTTATGTAACAGCCAAGAGGCAGCATTTCGGAAAACTTCAACTTCTCCTCAATATATCTTCAGGAATAGCCATGGTGAAGACTTTTTTTTATTTTTAAAATAGATCTTGGGGATATATTATAAATTCTAAGCTTGAGGATGTGATCTACAGTGTAATTTTTGATCGTCTCTAAAATTTTAATCTAAATTTTGAATATTCCGCGCTGGGAAGTTCTGGTTCAATAATTCTCTGGAACCAATAAATGGATCTGAACCGAATGTAAAAATAAAACATAAAATGTACCATATACATTTTACATGCACTCTACACAAAAATTTCGAAGAATGTTAAGCGCCATCTACACGCCAGTAGCGATACCACGTCCATCAGTTTCATACACCTCGTTTTTTTTCGAATGGCAACTCGAAACCGGAAGTTAGTTATAGAGCGAAGAGCTTTTTTCAACTTTTTGTATTAGATAAACACCATTGCGGTTTGAAGCTGGGCTAAATTATGCCCAGGCCGAAAGTTTAAACGCTAGCAATTAAGTAGTAGGAACAATAACAAATTTATATTCAAACATGCAAAAACCATTTATTTATTGTAATATAACAATATTTGTAATTCATTGTAATATTTAAAAAATAAATGTTTGTCAGATTGAATTACACACTGAACGAACAAAGGAAAAGCTTAGAAGCTTTATCACAATTCAATTTAAATTTGAGATAAATCTGTTAAGGACTAATAAAAATCAATTACAATGGTTTGAAGCGTGGCTAATTTATACCGAAACCGAAAGATAGCCCGTTAGGGGTTAAACGGTAGGAAACAGCTTAGAATCAAAAGTTTGTAATTTAACGTACAAAAACCATTTTTTTATAATATAACGAACACTTCTTACAAATTTTACAAGTACAATTTTACAAATCCAACTTCGCGGAGCAACCATAATCAATATCCAAGATCCAAAACAAAAGAAAGGAAAAGTCAAACAGCCGGGAATATGTTAAGCAAGAGTAATGCGTTACACGAAACTGCACTAAGCTGTGTTCCCCTTTTTGCGCATTTTTTGTGTGCTGGGCGCCTCCTTGCAGAACAAATCGAGCAAAACGCAGGACGGGATGCCTGAACTTTGAGCAGCGGAGGGACAAGTAGCCCGTTTCAGCCTAGACAAATTACCACTGAGTTTTCCAGTGGAGCCATCCGTCAGAGTCGCATTCGGAGTCGGAGATGGAGATGGAAACATCGGCCGACAAAAAATGGCTATCATCCTATGTGTACCCCAATGCTAATTAGGCGTGTCCTGAGGGACTCTCTCGGGGCCACTGGACCTGGGCCAATTAAATAAGCTTAAGCTGGCTTTTCGGTTCGAGCTTGTCATAAATTTTGACTGATTATGCGTATTCATCTTTGTCGTTGGAAGCTGCTACTGCCTTCTACTGTCCTAGGGACCCCTTCCCGGCATCCTTTGTACATCGTGACGACTAAAGATGTTCCTTCAACCCGTGCCAGCGCCTTCCTCCTCCCCAGTGTCCGGCGCAATTCATCATTCAATTAAATCGACCGCAATCGCTCAGTTCGTCGACATCTTCTTGAGTTGAGTTTTAAAGTAGCCTCAAAGTCAAATCCTTTAATGCGCCGCTGCCAGCAGTCAGTCGCTGCCATCGATTATCCTTTCAATAAAATGCCGCGGCACGGAAAAAAAACCAACTTTTTACCCCTCAAATTGTATTCCTACTTCGCTGCTCGTGTATTTTTGGGGATAGGATATCTTCTGAGGTTGATTTATGCGCTGGCTTAAAAGCGAATTGTTGTGAGCTGCTAACTGGAAATCTGTTTGGATGCACGTACTTGTTGGTCCTCCGCACGCCACCCGCCGCCCGTCGCCAGCTACCAGTCAGCCAACCAGCCCACTCTCACACTTTGGGCGGGCTTAAACGATTGCCAAAAAATGCTTCGTTTCGTGCATGCCAAAAGAGCAGCCAAAGCCGAATCCTTTGCATTTGAGCTGACGATTTTGCGACAAGGCTTTTGGTATGCCGGAGCAAGAATCTCAAGGATTTCGCAGCTGTCCTAGTCACAGTCACTAGTCGGTTCTCCCTGGCTTTTGTCAAAGTGATTTACGACATGCTCATGCCCAGCATTCAAAATTGAACCCCAATCGACTCCTCCTCCTAATGATTATCCTCGGCAAATGTTGTGAAATTCAATAGTTCTCTACACCCGAAATTTATTCTTGTGGCTTTTGTTGTTGTTGCTGTTGTGCTTTTTATTTCATTCCAAAAGCGCTTTTGTTTAATTAACACGCTCAAAAGTTGTTTATTTGTTTTATTTCGTAATGGCAAAAAGTAAAAGAATCGAAATTCGTTGTAGAAGCTCTAATAAGCGAGCCAACACTGTATTGAGATGTTATCACGATTTGTTTCTCTTGTTTGCTTTATAATACACTAACCAAAAATTGGGGGAAACATTTTTATGGCCTAAGAGTTGACTACATAGAGGAAAACCTCCATATTAGATACCGGGTGAAATTTGAATGGAGATTTGGCATAAATTTAATTCAAAGTTTTAGTCAAACATACATATATTTATCATGTATCATAATAGTATCCGTATCGTACTTAGATGACACAATTAAATTATACACTGAAATGCATTTAACAAGAATAGCGCATAAGCTTTATCACAATTCAGACGGACTAAATTTGAGATTAATCTCTTCAAACCTAATTAATTCACAAAGGAATGTGTTCCAGATTGTGTCTAATTTACAGTATGCAACGATAATTCACGTCTGAGCTAATAGGGTTTTGACCCTTTAGAATATACAGCAGTTCATACGAACCAATAATTTTTAATTCAATTTATTTATTTTTCATTCGACTAGCAAAACGGATACTTATAATAAGGCTAGGGATGGGTAGCTTCGAGAGCCGAAAGAGTAGATACCCTTGCGCATCCATTGTTCGTAAACTCTAGCGACTGCTCGGATTTTAGACCGATCGTTCCTATGTAAGTTATACCCTCTAGTGCTCCTACATGTCTGCTTACAAACAATATTCACAACAAAAATGATAGTATAAGTAAATAATTTTTTTCAAAGCCCACAACTATGTAAACTCCTTGTGACTAGCGCAATAACATAAAGTAGAAATACTGTGGCGTTAGGAATATATATACGTTCATATATGAAAATAAACATAAACGAATGTGTGACTCCTTTCCGCATCTCTACAACTGATTTGTTTTTGTGCATTCTGTTCGTGGCTTTCATTTGGTCCTTTGAGTTTTTAATTAACGCTCCTGCCATAAGGGGTACGAGGCCAATGGAATATAATAAAATGAATGAATGGAAAGGCGAAGAGAAAACTGTAGACGAACCATCCAGGGGACAAGTGGCGAGATAGAGAGACAGAAGTAGAGAGAGAGAGAGAGAGAGAGAGAGAGAGAGAGAGGAGAGCGAAATGAGTGGAGGAGATCCTTTGAACCGTGCGGTTACCATGACAAGTTCTCATTTTGGTCGGCATTCCGTTGTCTGGCTAATTCAACATTTGTGCAGCATGCAAAATATTATCAAAATTCCGCTGAAAGTTCAGGGGACCTACCACCCGCAACCCCCGCATTTATATTCCAACCAAACACGGGGGAAAATACAGACCGGGCGGAAACAGAAACTAATAAACGACAACAGGTGAAGTTGACACGTGGCAGAGATGCTGCGGAGGCACTTCAGGGAGCGACGAATGTACAAAAATCTGAGACCTGCCCGCCACCGAAGAGCGGACTTTTGGCAATAACTGTGAGCCGGACGGAGATGGTTGCCAAAGCAACCAGTTGTCGAACAGCTTGTGGGTGGATTCGGGAGACGGGAGTTCACCATCTATCAGTTATCGATAGGCCCAAGGACGGGCTATCGAAATGGGCGCCAAAACTGGAGAAATCCCGGAACACTCGCGCTCGTTCGCCCATTGGCCAGAGCACAGTCGAGGGCGGGGCCCATTGCGCACAGCTATCGCTGGTTATCTCGCTCTGGCGCGGAAGATGGCTGAAAGCAAGATGGCAGCTGGCGCTTGTTGCTGTCCCTCTCTCTCGCTCACCGATTGCTTCTGGCTTCTATTTAGTGTGTTTTTTTTGCAAATCAATGCAGGAGATAACCCCGCAGGCGGATAACGCCAGCGAGGGGGGGGCGAAAGATAAACAGTGTCTCGTAGCGCCAAGTGAATCCGAGCCCGGGGGTGGGTGTCCAGAGCTGCGTGGAGGGTGGATGGGAGGCGATTTGATTCGACACCAGTGCGCAGGGCAGCGTCGATGTCTGTCGACGACGTTATCAGAGCCGGAGTCAATTCGTTTTGATTTTTTCGCGCTTGTCTCAAATGCAAGCGAGTCCGCCTTGGCAGCGCTACGCGGTCGTTTCCGTTCTGCTCCGTTACGTTCGGTCCCGCCACGCTAACCAAAGCCCAAACTCAAGCCTACACTCAAACCCTAAGTCAAAACCCGTCGCTAAAGTCAAGATAAACTTTCCCAAGATCGACAATGATTTACTGAGACCCGAATAACACGATTTATAAAAGTGAAAATGTGCGAAAAATCAAAGAGGTTGACGGCATTTAACGCAATCAATTAAAACAAAACCGAAAAACAAGAGAAGTAGACCGCACCCGAAGACAGGGAGGAAGACCCGGGGTTCCCCTCTTGGACAGTGTCCTGCTATCCTCCTTCCCTGCTGTCAGTTGGTCAAACAGCTCATCAATAAACGATACGACTTCCGTTTCCTTGCGTGCTTTACCTGTGCATGGCTATATGTGTGTGTGTGTGTGCGTGTGAGTGAGTGAGCTAGCGATTGTGTGTTTGTGCGTGCCGAAGGAAACTTTCCAACTTCCGGCCAAGTGACTTCGATTTAATTTCTTTGGCTTTTTTATGGTCAAGGCATTTAATTAATTTTACTATGGCAATTTGAGCGTCTCAGCCGTCTACCCTGGTCTGTTCTGGTCAGCCCCGAACTATGAACTGAACTCTGACCGCTAACCCAACGACTTGCCACACACATAAAGAGGCAGTAGCAGCAGCAGCAGAAGGCGACGGCGGAGGAGGTCGATCTCCACGTAGGTAAGTTTTAGGCCAAAATGAGCAATAAAAGTCAATGCAAAAACAATCGAAGGTCTGCACAAGCTGCTGCGGTTAACGAAAGTGAAATGGATTTAGTTTTCTAGGGAATCGAATCGAAGCTAAAAACGGGACAGGGGATCCGATGCGGTTTAGCGCTGATGACATACCATTTTAAAGATGTAGTAATAAATTAGGCTTTCTGGATATCTATACTGCAGATCTGAATACTTATTTATTTGGTTTAAGCATAAGGATAAGGACAAGGGGAAGAAAGGTGGAAAGGGTTTCTATTTGATTTCCTGAAGAACATGTAAGTAAATAAGTATTCGTTAAAAAATTGCGAGACTCTTCCTAAAGTTAAATTGAGAGAATGGTAGATCATGGTAGTTAATCCTTCATACCATAGATTCCAAAACTTAAAGCTCATACGCCAACAGATTCAATTATATTATGTTTTGTATATTACCCTTAAGGGGCACAGCAAATATATGGATATAAATACATATGGGATTGCTTCTATTAGGAGTGCCCGTCCCAGATCAGTCTCTACATACTAATAGCTATGTTTGCTTCCAGCCACACCCATTTGGAAACAGCACCAAGAAATTGAAATGTGAATCGAACTGAAGATGAAGACGAGCATAAACGTACTGTGATAGACGAGTATACGAGCAGAACATCTCACTGGGATTCTGCCCCAAACACGTTTCCCGATTCAATCAAATTGAATTCGGAATTGAACACTGAAACGATTGAACCTTCACTATTCAAGCGGGCTACCAGCAAAAGGCGACAAGCTGTCGACTTTATCCATACGCAACTTCTCGGCAAACATGCTGAACAATCTTGGGGCCAATGTGTTGGGTAAGTACTCGATTGTATTGTAGTTTTTCCGCTCCGCTCCCCTCTGTGGAACAGACGGAAGATAGGCGATCAGAGAGAGGGGAGTACGTATATAATATTGTAATTAAGATCGGCAAGTGAATTACGCTAATATATAATAACGTGTGTATTAATCCATCCCATTCCGTCCCTTCCCCACCGCTTGGCCATAATTAAACTAATTTCTTGAGCACACCTGCAGGCGTGTATCTTTCTATATGAGGAGTGGGTAAGGGTATCGGAGTGGTCTGTAGTTACTTCCGATCTTCCGATTGGCATCTCAGATTTTCATCTGCTAAATGGCCTATAATTGAGACGTCTAACCAGCTGGCGCTTGAGCGCTTGTCGCGTGCATTTAGCAATAATTAAGTTGTATATTTAACTAACTCGGCAGGCTCTCTCCCACTCCCACTCCCATTCCCACGTAGCCATACCCATTCCCATGCCCATACTCATTGGCATTCCCCAGGTGGGTGTGGGTGTGGGTGTGTGTGTTAATTGATATAATTGCTCTTTTAAATATGCCGCAAATTGTGAATTACTTTGTGCAGCGGGAGCACGCACATAATTATCAAACCGTTCTGGCCAGCACATATTAATATTTATATTGTAAAACATATTAATACGCTGCAAACAAACTGATTTCGCCACATTGTTGATCAATTGTTCAAGCACTTTCAATTTCGGCAATCAATTTGCTGTTTGCCCTGCCTGCACCTGCACCAGCACCGCAACAGCACTACCACTACCTCCGACTGCAGTCCATTGTGCGGGTGAATCTCTGAATGAATGAATTATGTTTGCGTTTTTATTCAATTTTTATTGCCAGCCGGAAGGCGATTCAGGCCCCGGATCCTTCGGCGCGCTGTAATTAATTACTTTTATTAATTTATTGCCATTTTTCACACGCCAGTTGTCGCTGGGCCACGATGCGTATGCTCGTTTTTCAATAGTTGCCGGGAAAGTGCGAAAAATATGCAAAGAAGTGCTTTATTGAGACCAATCGAGAAAATCGATTGTCAAACCATCTACCCAGGGCGCAAAATGCTGAATTATGGTAGACTAAAATCCTCTTTAATGGGTCTTAAAGTTAGCCCCCACTCTGCCTCGTGGAAAACTATAAATTTCAATGACTCGCATTGCGGAATCTCCTGCCCAAATCCCGCCTGCAGTGCGAGGGGCTGCCATAATAAATTTCGTAAGCCTTTTTTGGGCACAACAAAACGGGGCCTCAGGATACAGAGGACTGGCAACAGTTGCAGGCCATTCAAAAGCATTTGCATATTGGGTGCCTGTGCCTGTGCCTGTGCACCACTGGTGGGGAAAGAGGGATTGGAGATGGCGATGGAGGTCCACACAATTAAGACAATTTGCATGCAAAAGAAATGCGAAAACTTTTCCTTCTACTGCCTGTCTTTCACTGGCTCCGCGAATGAGACTTGAATCGCATTTTATTCCATTTTCGGCTGGAGTTTTTGGTGTTTCCCGCATTAATTTAATTAATTTCATGATTGCAAATGTATTTCGCGGATACCCCTTTCTGGGACCCTCATTTGCCCCTTGTGTGCTGGTATTTTTGCGGTGGCCGGAGCTAGTGAAATATGTGCTTAAGCCCCCAAACCACGATCGCCCACGCCACTGCGAGGCCTGGCATCCATTCTGTATTGAAATGTTTTGCGGTTGCTGTGGATTCTGTTCCCTGTTGCGGTTAGCTGTTGGAGCAGCCTGAACCTGAGCCTGAGCCTTCGCAGGAGTTGGAGCTGGTGCTGGTGTTGGTGCTGGGGCCTGGGCCATGCCGGAGCCTATGCTCTGGTAGGCAGCTGCTAAAAACCGCACAATTTCCAAATTTCAATAATTATGCACATTGCACATGCAACTGACGACTAGGGGGGAGAGACAGAGGTGCATAGGCTCGTCCTGTCCTGGTCCAGTCCGGCCTATCCTCGTCCTCGGCCTCGGCCACGTCCGTACATTTTGTGGCAGATATTTGCATTTCGCGCTCGCTCCCAAAACAGACAAACTGATTTGCGCAAATTGTGCAAATTGCTTGCGCGATAAATTCATGTTTGCCAATTTTAATTAATTAATCGCTTTGTGCGGTTTTCATTTCGTTTCGTTTCGCTTGGCCTCGTCTGGACCAGAGACCAGAGACCAACTAAAATGTCCGCTCCAGGCCAGGTGTAAAAGCATCTGCATTTGTATCTGTGCATCCATATCTGTATCTGTACCTGTATCAGGGGCTGTGTCTCTGTGTGTTTCAAAGTTTGTTTGTTTGATTGTTATAGCTCCCTATAATTTAATGTCCTCTGTGTTTGCTAACTGAATAACTGCGTTCCAATGATTGATTCGAATATGCTGTTCTATTAGGCTGTACCGCAATTTTGCGTGAGTTTTTGTCATATATTAAGGGTGTAATCAGATCTATATTATGTTATACAATATTTCATCTGCACGAACATATTTGAATTACCACTGAGTGTTGCTAAGGTGCTAAGGCCCCCGACTAAATTCGGAGTAGACATGTTTAGTTTAGCGTAGTTTCATAATCGTAATGTTTCGTAATCTCTATGGTGTATATTTTTGGGTACAGGCCAACTTAAAGACCCTACATCCTACGGCATTTAAAGATATGTGCTCTGAATGGACATGGACCTAGCTGCTGGCCACTGGAGAGTACATCTCCTCGATCTGCATACTCAATGCACAGTTAGGGCAGCACTTGTCGTATGTGTGTGTGTTTATTTTTAATATTTATGTGTTACAACTGTAAAAGACGAGGTGAAAAAATCAAAGTTGGTCGAAACAACTAACTAACTAACTAACTAGCCTGCTGGCTGACAGAGTGACGGAGCGAGTGAGTGGCTGGACGATGGGGCTGGGGCGGGGAGATGGCTGCCCCTTGCCAGGGAAGTGCGATTTCGAGAAGTGGCGCTATTTTATGGCTCCCAAACGTGGCCCAAACGCTGTCCAAATGTGCTCGAGTGTGTATCTATGTGGATTTGAATTGAGAAAACAGAAGGAAGCGGGAACAGTTGGATGTTAAAAGTCGCACTTCTTTGGAGCATCAGCGCAACAGAACGACGTGTCGTTTCCCCCCTGAGAGCATACCGTAGATACAGATACATGTTTGAGATGTGGCCATCGAGCGTGAATGTTCGGATGGAGAGATGGATGGATGGCACAAAGCATATGGAGATGGAGATATCGCACCTAACACCGCGCCTTAAATTTACTAATCACGAGCAGAGTTTGAATTTGCTTTTCCCCTGGGCTCCCGCTGCCCTGGCTCTGCCGTTTACTGTGCGTACTGCGTAATGCTCTAAAAATATGGCAGCCATTAGGGGTGGGAGCTGACAGACAGAGGCCATGTCCGAAGACTTTCTTTTAGGTGCTCCCATCGTGTGCTACAATTGCAGTGTCAAAGTCCACGTTCCACCCGACTAGGGCACATATTCAATATAGAGCTGTTCATGCAGCTTCCCTCGTGGGGCTTGGGGGCTGATGGGGCACGATTGGGGACGTCACCATCTGAAAATCGCTAATGAACAGTAGCCGTACTGGGTGTATGTGTAAAAATTAGCACTTCCCCAGCAGCGACTTCTCCAGCGACAACAACAAAAGCGGCTTACAGGGAATGTCGCTTGTGACCAGAACCCCATTAAAGCGGAGCTCCGGCAGCTGAACTTCGAGTCCATATCTTTTATTTGCTGCCACTTATATTTATGATTTTATGCGGCGTCTTGGGCTGCACTCGTTCACCTGTTGACTGCATTCGGATCTCGGATCTCGGAGCTCGGATCTCGACTACTATTCGTTTGCCTCTGATGTTGCCGAAATTTTAACAAGTTCGGTTCGAAAACAATAAAAATCATTGAGGGCCGCCATACCCCCGCCACTGACAACATCAAAGTCGGCAATGGGCAATGGAGCGAGTAGAGCTGGATGGGAGGGAAGCGCAATGGAGGAGAGTGGTCAAAGCGGACAGATTTTTTCCAGCTTAGAGGGATTTGCATTTTGGCCTCGCTTTCATTGGAAATTGCACACCGCCACTAGCCGCCTACACCTTCACTTCGGGCATAATCAAATGACAATCATGACAACATCCCGCCTATAGCCCGGTCCTAGGTCCCGGCTCGCCCCCCAAAGGTTGTGCGCGACTCTGTGGCTGCGGACAAGACGAGAGTTCGCGTTCACTGGCGATGAGTAAATGTTTGACTTGTAGCAACAGTTGAACACGGCAACGGCAGCGGCAGCGGCAAAGGCAACAGCAACAGCAACAATCAAAGTGAAAAGAGGTAAAAAGGGGAAAAAGAGTTGGGTCGAGCCGGAGTCTCTCTCACACGTACATGTTAAAAATTCCAGGCGTACGATGAAGATGATGCGGCCTCCGACTTTGGCCAACTCTGCATCTATCTCTCGGGATGTATGTTGCTGCCGTTGCTGCTGGTACTCACTGACATGAGCTACACGGAAAAATAAAATGGGAATAAAACAAAATACAGATACGTTACGTCGTCGAGTGAGACCAAAAGGTAGGAAATGAAAAGGGGCTACCACTCGCTTACTCGCTCGCTCGCTCACCTGCTCGCTCACTGTCTCGTATCTGTATCTGCGCCTGCTGCTGTATCTGTATCTGTGTGTATCGCACCTCAGTTTGTTGTTTGTCTCTCTCTCTCACTCTCTCTCTCTGGTTCACCCGTTCGTTTGTGACTGTTTTTGGCATCTTTTTCTCCTCCTGAATGACAGGTTGTTGAAAAATTCAATTTATCCGATCGCCGCAGTTCGGTCCGAGCAATACTCTAGGTCGTTACCTCACCGCTTCCAACCAGAGCCCCGCGTAGATACCGAAAAAATTAATTAATACCCGTAGACAGACGATTATCCCTCCCCCGAGAGACTTTAAGAGATTTAATTTAACATCTCAACAATAATTCAACGAAAGTAACTTTCATCATCGAGTGCCGTGTGTTTTGTATTTTGTGGGGCTGAGTGGTTTATAAAATTTGCCCTTTCGATACGCCTTAGCATCTGTGGATTGTTTAATCAGTGGATCGGTGTAAGCTATTGATCATTCGAATACTTATGTTAAGCTTTTGGAAAGTCCCTGATCACTGCAGATCACCACAACGACACCGATGGCCACATGAATCATCGCCCCCAAAATAAGTTTCCACATGATCCAGTGCATTACCACGCTCATTAAACCCACGGTCACAATTTCAATATTGACCACGAAGTTCGATATTATTGAAAGCAAATTATAACAAATGCAACAAATTTTGTGCACTGTAAAATTCCGAAATATCAATTAGGGATACGATACATTTTGACCGTGATAGATATCAAATGCAGAGACCAATTTTTTTTTTCTGGTTAAGAAGCAACAAAAGAACAATTGCCCAAATGGCGAACAAATATAGATGTAGATGTGAAGAATTTGATATCCAAATCGAAACTTGACTTGAAATTTAACAGAAACGCACTAAAATATGAAAATAAAAGTAGCATAGACGATTCTTATTGAGCCTCAAAAAAAAATCATTATCATTAACAAAGTTTGCATATATGTTTGTATTTCGCTGCAGGCCCCAAGGATTGTGATCTGCCCAAGGCCGCACTGACGGCGTTGCACGCGGGCGTTAACAGCTTCGGACAGCTGCCCGGTGCTCCGAATCTGGCGGATCTCGGCGGTTCGGGCGGTGGTGGCGTTGGACTGCCAGTTGGAGGTGGCGTGTCACGCCTCCACATCTCCGGTGGACTGTGCGACAACGCGAACAACAGCGGCAACAACAGCAGCGGCGGAGGCGGAGGTGGTGGCAGCGGCAACACCAACATGCAGCAACAGGATCAGGTGAGAGAATTAGCAGAGCAAGAGAGAGAGAGAGAGAGAGAAAGAGAGCGAGAAAGATAGAAGCAGAGCGAGAGCGAAAGTGATAGATATATAGTTTATACCAAACTTTTTTAATAATCCATGTTCTTTTCGATGTTTATTTTCCCTTCAAATACTACTCTGCTATGCCAAAAACAAAAACAAAAACAAAAATCAAATACAATTCAATTCGAAATTCGATACAAAACGCAAATCTGTTTCCAAAAACGTGAATGTGTGTGTTCTGAATTGTGTAATGAACCTATTAAATGTGCCATGATACATATTCGTAATAATAATCACATAAAAACCAAAAGTAAGTGTACCTTGATTTCCATACTTAGAACCGTAGAACTCCAACCCTATCCTACTTTAACTGTTCTGTACTACTGTAGTGTACTGTAGCTTGTAGATTGCATTCCTTGGTAGTTAGTGTGTACTTAAGATACAAATACACATATATACATCTCATTCATGTGTGTGCGTCTCTTTTCTCTTTTGGTTTCTCTCGGTACAGCTCCTGGACAAAAACAAACAGAAGAGACACCGCACGCGCTTCACCCCGGCCCAACTAAACGAGCTGGAGCGGTGCTTCTCGAAGACCCACTATCCGGACATTTTTATGCGCGAGGAGATCGCCATGCGCATCGGCCTCACCGAGTCCCGTGTCCAGGTGAGTGCCCTGCCCCTGCCCCTGCCCCTGACCATGCCAAATCACACTTTACGTGGTTTTGTCCTGCGGTTCGACGGCTGTCAGATGGAGCTCCCTCCGAAATCGGTTTAGTTCGTTTTGGGGCTGACATGACATTTCACTTGTGTTGCACAAAACCGCAGCGGCCAAGAGGGCGGATTAGGGGTCTGCGGCTCTCCTATTATTGGGGGGATATTTTCTCCGTTTTCCTTGCAGCAGTTTACGAGGCACTGGGCTGCTGGGAGGCTCCGCCGAACACCATTTAAGCGCCCAAAATTATACTTTATTAAAGCTCATAAAGTCACATTTAGTCCGGCATTCAGGCACGCCCCAACCCAGGCGTTCACGGCCGACCCAACGCCACAACGACCCAACGCCCCTCTTTCGCTCTGGTTTCTCTCTTGCAAAAGTTTTTATGCGAAGCTCAGACACTCACGCACACATGCACAACGGGCATTATCCTTTTGCGGCTGGCATGGCTCCCCTGTGCTGCTGCTATTATCCTTGTCTCTGTGGCTGCTTCTCCTCCGGCTCCCGCTGCTCCTCTTCTTTAGGCGTGGGTCCTTTGCATTCGCTCGGGCCTTTGTTTATGGGACAATCGAATTTACTGCTTCATTAAATTTGTATTTAAGCTTCCGTTTCCGGTTGTTCTTACTTCTCTCGCCAGCCAACCAGTGAAGCAATGCGAGAATTGTTTTGCGGTTGAAATAAATGCCAAAAACTTTGTCTTATTGGCCATAGAAGGATTTTCTTTCTCTGCCACTGCTACTGCTCTGGCTAAAACAATTAGCCATGAGTGAGAAACTGTTGCCTACTCGGCGGGGGCGGGTGACACCTTCATGATGATCCTGTCCCACCACCTCCGCCTGTACGAACCTGCCGGATGTGTTCTACTTTGATAAATTGTTTTAATAATTGCGTATCAGTGTTGCCTGTTAATGCTTTTCCCCCTCTACCTCTGCCACAGCCTTGCTCATCCTTCCCCATCCGGCTGTCCAAGGGACAATGCAGGTGACTGTCACAGGGAGAGGGTGGATGTTGCAGGCGGCGGGGTGGCTAAAGGCTGAAGGCTGAAGGCTGAACGCGTCTGCCGTCGGCCTTTGGCTGATTTTCTCCTTCCAGCCGCTGTCCCGCTATCCCGCTGTTCTAATGTTTGATTTTGTGTTGTCGTTGCGGCTTAGAGGATGTCAGGCCGTTGGATTAGTTTCGGGATTGTTGTTTAATAAAATTAGCATATAAATTAAGTTGGCCCGCTGTTAGTCGCAGTGGTAGTGGGACTGGCACTGGCAGTGGCCGTAGCCGTGGCCGTGGCAGACTGAAATAACACATTTAGTGGCTCCTTGGAGCATTGGGGGTATCTTCACACTTGCAAGAGGTCCGACCCTCATTCGATATGCACACACACGTCTGGCCCTAAATCAATCTACCAGGATTTGCAGCTAATGACGGCATAAAGACAGCCTCCAGATCCCTGCTCCCTGCCGCCTCCTCCCAACTAAATTCCAGGAAAATTCCTACCCGCATTACCACAAAAATCAAGTCAAAGTTCCACATGTGAAGGGTGAAGGGGGTGGCAGGTGCATAAGTTATGAGGCTCACGTAGCGGCCGACTGGCTAAGAGAGGAGTTTCTTCACAGCGACAGACACACAGCTCCATTTATGGTAAATATAATTTAATAAATACATAAAAGCCAGAGCGAAGAGCATCTATTCCTACTTCCTTCCTAATCGGATCTGCCGAGGGTTGGGGTGGAATTAACACAGTCGTAAGCCCAGGGCGGGGCCCAGCAGGAGGCTCCCCGGCAATTGTTAATTTGTGTTTTCACAGCAGCAATTGAACAATTTACGTGGCCGGGACGTGGCCTCGGGTCAGGGTCCGGGACAATCTGTTCGTCACACGTGACATCTCCACAGGGGGCGCGGGGCGCCGGCGGACTGGGGAGGACTGAATTTGGATGGAAGATGACCCGCAAAAATTGACTTATCATGATTCGGCATTGTCAAAGGCATTGTCGGAGAGATTGTCAAAAGCATTGTAATGGCTTTGTCTGGAATGTTAACATTTATTGGTTTGTTTATTAATTTGTTGCAACGCGACAGGGTCACAGTGGGTGGGTGGGGCGAGCGGCGTCCCAGCACGTGCCTTTGTGTGTGTGTGTCTGGGCACTAAATGAATTTCTCACATGATTAATTTGCCAGGCAACCGCGCCAAGGCAGCGCAGGACTCTGCAGGTGAAAGTGGCAGGAGATGGGATTGGAAAGTTCATAAGGTTTATAACCAATCAACCGCTTGGCAACGGATTTAATCTTAAATTTACAGCTTGATATCTCAAGATCTTGTCTGAGGAAACTCTTCTAGAGACCCTACTACATCTCTTACTTGAGAGTTTTTCTGAATTTAGTTCCAGCTATATTTTCAGCTATATGATCGGTTAGCTTAAATGGCTAGAAAGAAGATAGGTTCTGCCCCTAACAGATTGTTGAAGATGATTAAGTATTCCAAATTTGTGTTTTTATACCTGGTACTCAAAATGAGTTGAGGGGTATATAAAAATGGATGTGTAAAACACCCAGAAGGAGTCGTTTCCGTCCCAATTAAGTATATATATTATTGGGCAGCATCAATTGCCGAGTGATTGAGCCATGTCTGCCTGCCTGTCTTGATTGACGCCTAGTTCTCAGAGACTTAGAGAGCTAGAGCCACAACATTTTGTCAGATTGGATTATAATTATAGCCAGAAGGAAGAAAAAGGCGTCCACTCGCTTTTTTTCTTCTCCCTCTCACACACTCTTCATATGCGAGAGACGAGATGAGCAATACTGACTGAGTATCGGGTATAGATGTAGAGTGGCGGCCGTAGCTGCATCTCACAACGTTCGACTTACACTAAATATTCAATACATAAAATAAAGATCAAACTGAAAAGAGCGGAAAAAATCAAGTAAATTTTCGGTTTAAAATTTTTTGCTTTGATATTATTGTTTTTTAATAGGATTTGTTGCCACATCGATTTAAACTGAAAAGCGTAGCTCAATGCAATTCAGTTGTCTATCCAAAAATTAATGCAGAAAAGTTTTATCCGTACATACGTACATACATATATACAGAAAAACTCTCCTGAATTATTATGATTCAGCAGGAATAAGCAATATCGATTGGCTTAAGCGCAGGGCCAGTGACAGTCCAGGCCATCCAGGCCACACCAGTCCCGTACGGGCCAATCCAGTGCCGTTCGAGGTCCTTCACGACTTCCCTTCCCACTGCGAGCATTGATAAATTATTGCCTCGACTCCAGACAGAACTAATTTATTTGCTGAGCCGCTTAATGCCCCTCTAATAATAGCCCACTGAACTCTGGAGAGGGGGAGCCACTATCATGGGGGCGGTGATGGGGATGGTGCCGGAGGAGGAAATATGCGAGATGTACATATGTATAAGCTGAATTTCTATGACGCCCATCCCATATCTGAATTTTTTGCTAAAATTAGACTGGATATTCTCATAAAAAGCGAGCAGAGCATCTTTATTAAAATCTCATGGAAATGCAAAGGTGGAAGAGTGGGAGAGGAGGTTGGGATTCAAAGGGCAGGACTCTGATGGAAGGAGAAAGCCCTCGAAGCAGGTCCTGAGGCGACTGGGTCGTCTCTGGTATAACCATGGCATCGCAAGTTTTAATTAAACTTTAATTGAAATACCAAAAACGAAAATATGCAACAAACAGAAAAATGTGGCAACTGCGGCAGGAGGAAAGGGTGAGGCAGAAGGGGGCCTGGGGACGACGGAGTAGGTTTAGTGGAGAGCTTTAAAAAGAGCCAGAGACAGCAGAAATCCCAGAGACTGGAGGCGAGGGGTCCCTCTATAAAATGCACATAAAGAGCATCAAGAAAATCTGGCACGCATTCTGTTTATGGCATATGAAGCAATTCCAAAAGCAATTTCGTTGATACTTTTCATTGAAATGTTTGTGTGAAAATGGCGTGCCAAAGTGCCCGATGGGCAGGGGCACAGACGACCGACGCTGGCATGGAGCTGGGGGTTGGCGAGTCTATCCGGGATAAGCTGCTCCAACTGAGGCTGCCATTGATAGAATGACAAGAGCACCACCCCCTCGCAGAGCCATTCACGAAAAAAGGTTGAAAAACTTTTCCGAAGAGCCCAAGAGCAGACAAAACCAGAGCAAGTCAGGGGCAGATTGAGAAAGAGCGAAGAGGAGTGGAGGGGGCCGGATTGGACCTGCGCATGCTCCCCAAATGCACCAAAAACAATTTCGGGGGTTGCATCGCATGGTCCATAACACCACGCTCCAACCTCTCAAAAGTGGGGGCTGCAGTTGCCCCGGCAACCCCCAAAATGCAAAAGAAATGAAATGCATCAAATATTCAAAACTATTTCATAAATCAAAAGTTGGACTCGTCCGGAATTGGCTGTTGTTCCCCCGCAAATAGCCCCCCAAAGAACCACTTTGATGATGTCTATCAAAGGGCAGTGCGACACATTTCTCCAAGTGAAACGAATAGAGAGGGAGAGGGAGAGCAAGAGAGACGGCTACAGGGAGAGCGCGGAGCGAGATAGAGAGAGAGAGAGAGAGAGAGAGACGGGCATAGTAGACTTTGAGCCAGTCTCAGCGGACTGGCCCCTGCTCCTTGGGGGTCTGGCGTTGGGAATGGGGTGGGCTCTGGGCCTCGAAGCAAGTGTTCCCGGGGCCGACTCGTAAAGCAGGATTTAAAGGATAACATAAAATAAATCGACTCGCATTTGTGTGTTTGTGTGCGTGTGTATGAGTGTGTGGGAGGGAGGTAAATAGAGGGAGGGAACGCCACGCGGAGACGGCATTTTATGAATTTATACGCATTTTTTATATGCTCAGGAATGAAAAGATATTGGCCGAAAAGCGATTTCCATAAACCACTCAGAGCCGCAGTCAGAGAGGGAGTTGGATCAGAGGTCGGAGTCCGTCCTGGCCAAGGATATGAAAGGACCAATAATCATAATAAAAAGATGCTTGAACTGAAGTTGAAGACATGCTGAAGGCAGAAAGGGTGTCCGCCCAGTCAGGCAAACATCAGAGGCCAACAATATCCAGGGGACAGCTTGCAGGGGACCGGGCCCCTCTTGAGTGGCCTTCTCATCTCCGGTTGCCTGGCAGCCACAAGGGGGCCAAGGAAAGCAATAACCCGGCCAATTGATTTTTGATTAAAGCCCAGCAGCAACAATATCCGAGAGATACTCGCACTCGTACTTGCACTTGTGAAGAGACAATATCCAATCTCCTGTCAGGCCACAGATCCAGCAAAAATTGTCAATAAAAACGAGCCGAAAATTACGAGTATTATTGCACTTTCTGGCTTTTACCAATCAACGGTTTATTAAGAGGGGATCGAGCTGCACTAGCCCCTCCGTCCGTCCTCCGTCCTCCGTCCTCCGTCTCTTTGGCAGGATGAATAGATGAATAACATTTGCACTGCAGACTAATCGAATTTTGATTGCAATTTTCTGCACTATCGCGGGGCTGAACGAGCACGAGTATGCGATGCCCTCTCATGGGTATATGTGCATATATCCGGCTCTGTGCCTCTGATTGATAATTTTGAAATTGGCTGTTGAAGTGCGGCTTTTTGTGCCAAAGTGCATTTCTATGTTGTCATCGGTACTCGTGTTGTGTTGCCTGTCATATGCAAATTGCGGGCTGCAGTTGCAGTCCATTCGAAGCTAACCGGATTCTTTTGAGGCTGTTGCTACCATTGGCCTCGTTATCCTTACAGCTGTTTAATCAGCCATTAAGCATAATGTGCAATTAATGTTGCATAACGAACCGAGCAGATATCATAAACAAGGCTCAAGCCGCGAGGATGGGCCAATGCCCGTGCCAGTCCGCTATGACAGACAGAGACCATTATGACATGGGACTGGGACTAACGTTGGCAGGGGCTGGATGACAGCAAGGGCGACACAATAAACAGGTTCATAATAAAAAGCCGTTGGCCCTTTCACACCCACCCTTCACACCTTACGATCCACCCTCCCGAAACTGCGAGCACCATCCACCCAACCAGCCCATAAAATCAAAGCAAATCACTTGTTATCCCATTTCCAGCCGCAGTTCCAGCTCCCCAGCCATTACCTCACCCTCATCCTCATCCTAGGTATAGCCATGTAATTTAGCCGATACTTAATTCCTGACTTCTGCCTTCATTTGGTCTGTCGTCTCCCCTGCCGGCTGCGGGTCTTTCCGGATCTGGGTGCTAATATCTGCGGCCTGCCGCAAGAAATTGCTTTTTCATGAACTTGACTCATTTATTATTTGCAACAGTTGCCCCTCTCCCTCCCTCCCACTCTCTCTCTCTCTCTCCCCCCGCTTTGTTTGGCTTTTTGCTGGTGGTGTATTTTCTTATTTGTTGGGTTTTGTTGCTTCCGTTGCTGCTGCAGTGTCAGTCGTGAAGTGAAAATTAAAAGTCCAAACATGAAAATGCTTTTGTGGGAAACATATGGCTGAAATTTTTTGTCGGCTTCTGTTTTTTGTGTGTCTGCCTGGCAGGGCAGCCTACTGTTGAAGGATTGTTGTTAGAGACTGGAGGTACGGTACGGACGGAGGGTTGAAAGTGTGATCGAATACTAAAAACAATAAAAACACTTGAGCTTGGTAAAAATCCATTCACTGCCTCAATGGGAGATTAGGCAAAAGTTATTGGTAGACTATTTATTTTTGATATTATAAGACATTAACTGACTTGATGTTTAAAATTTAGTTACAGTAAAAGTTATGAAGATTGGGAAACCCTTTCGAATCATTCTTATGGCAGCTTTATGATATATAGAGGTCATAGCCGCATGCTTGCGAAATATGATATACCTATTTAACATAGAAGGGAACACCTTTTTAGTATTTCATTAAGGAAGTTTTAAAACTGGTGGGACCTTTGGGAACATTTTTCTTCATCCCGAAGAAGTTTCGTGTATTGGATGCACATATGCTGGGTATAATCTACAAACCATAATCTGTAAACAAAGCGAAAGCAGGGTCCCATAATCTAACCAGGTATACCAATGTTATTTTACTTGATTTGTGGGGTGTTTCTCTGGGGTTTTTCTGGAACCGGACATAAAAAAACAACCTACAATCTGAAACAGAAATATCTGGTCCGAATTAAAGCTTAGCCTATAGGTTATTAATCTCTGAAGGGGAAGGCCTGACACAAATGCGCTCCTGGGGCGGGAGTCAGGCCACTCAGCGGCTGATAATTTATGCATAAGGGTGAAGCTTAAAAAATTACCGTAGACACACAATTTAACGCGACATAAGGAGCATTTTTCGGTTTTCTTTTTTATAACGATTTTCGGATTCACGCTTGAAATTGGGCGCAGCCAAAAAAAAACAAGTTAGGAAGGAAAATGTAGGGAAAGAGCAAGCCGCGGAAAACAAATCAAATGCAAACGGAGACACACATACACACACAAACGCATGTTGTTTTTTTGTGTCTGGCACCGCACACACCCTCCCATAAAAGTAGACGCACGCACACACACACTCTAGCATAGGTGGTGGCAGGGATATTGGGCATAAAAAATAAATGTTTTGTTTAACCGACATTTTAACGCCTATTTACGTGCCGGGCACGTCATGCACGTTATGCCAATTTAATGGCTATCTCAGCCCCCAGCCCTCAACCTTAGACCAGGCCAACGGAAGGCAATGACTTTTGCTTTTTGCTGTTTCCTCTTCTTCCTCTCCGTCTTGTTTCCGTTCGTGTTCTGTCCTGCTGCGTAGGTGTGTTCTGGCACTCACGAAAGTGGCAAGCAAAATAAAAGCAGCAAGCATATTTAATTTGCCAAACTCAAAGCGGCAGAAAGAGGCAGCAAGTGGTAGAGAGAGAGGTAGCTACAGAAAGAGATAAAGAGAATGAGAGAGAGAGATAGAGTGAGCAGGAGGGCAGACAGTCAGACATTGTCTTAAATTATTAAATTAAAAGTTAATGAATAGAGAGCGAGGCATAAACACGTAAAAAACATAAACAAGTCAAGGTCGCCGACACACCCTCACCCCAGCGACTTTAGTGCCCCTGCCCCTGCCCTGCCATTCCTGTTCCCCTTGCCACCACCCTTTATCCCTTCCACAATGTGGCACATTAGCGTCCCTGGTGTACCATCCAGCCAACCTGTGATAGTTCATTTCTGTTTAGCTTAGTCCAGTTCTATTCGGTTGAGGTTGAGTGGAGTGGAGTGGAGTTCTCTTCGGTGGTGTCTGCCGTTGTCCGACATATGACAAACCCCCTAGGGACCATCTGAAGTCAGAACCATCAGAAGGCCTTACAAGCAAAGTTACTTTGCGCAAAACTTGCCATTTTTCTTTCTCACTCAGACTATCTCACTCTCTCTTTCCCCTGTATATTCACTGTCCCTGTCTATCCTGTTTCCTGTGTGTGGCTCTCTGTTTGGTCCTAGTATTCCTTTGCCATTAGTCTGGCGCACTCAGACAGAAACAGTCGACAGTCGGTGACAGCTCAAGATTTGCCACGAATGCTGGGATTTATAAATTCTATATAGCTGTTTATATGTATATATAATATGTATGTGTATGAGAGTGGGTAAAGGTGTGTGTATAACGGTTAAGTTGTCAACCCGACTTTCGAGTGATGTGGATGCGAACGGCCTGATGCCTTGATGGCGGAAAAATCGTTTTCATGTCACTAGTCATTCACTCGCTGGGACTTTGTTTTCTCATTTTCCACCTGCAAAAAGATTGTGGAAATCAGCAACAAACAAAACAAAAAAAGCACTATAGAAAAGCAGAAAGTTAAAAGTTGAGATATTCCAATCGGAGGTCCTCATACGGTCTGGCTCTGGCCCCTAGATATAGGCAACACTTTGGCCCCCCGATCCGGAGCTTGGGTGTGTGCTTCGAGTGCTTGTGTTCGTGTTCTGCCTTGTAAATGTCAAAACCTCAACATGTCTACGTGGCCCGGCTCCGTTCTCCGTTCTTATGCATATGGAAATGCCAATTTGAAGCGAACACAGCACACATCCGACACGGGCTACGACCTCTCCGGCCATAAGACAAAAGCGTATCGAAGGGCCAGTCCCGTCATTGTCCTGGCGATGACCAAAGATGCGGTACCTGTTGGAGAGGGTCTGTGGCTGTGGTGGGGTTTCTGGTTGGGGTTGGGGCTTGGGCGGATTGCTCGCCAAATAGCTGATTGCCTTGTTCTCTGCCTATGGATGAAGAATTTACATATGGAATTTATGCGCATGTAAATCTGCTTGTACAATACTTGCATGTGTGCGTGTGTGCATGTGTGTGTGTTTCGAGACATGTTTCGACTGTCACGACGGTAATTGATCTCGATTAAGACCATGTAGGAGGCAGATTTTGGAGTGGGTTTTGCGATGCGGGGTGGGGTTGCAGCTGCTTAACAAGGAGCCGAAGCACAAAGTTACAGGTATGTGTGTGCCACTCATACACACACAATGGAACTATCTGCTAATCAAGAATACCATCTTGAAATCGAAAAAACTACATACTACTTGGATTACAGATGCTTGGGTTAAAGATTAATATGACTTAAGTCTAGATCGGTAAGGTGGTTCGCAGGTCCAGTGTTTATTTCTAATCTAGCCTTGCTCCAGTATTGGTTGGTTAAAACTAGCCCAAAAGCTAATACCATACTCCATTGCTCTTTTCCAGGTCTGGTTCCAGAACCGACGCGCCAAGTGGAAGAAGCGCAAGAAGACCACCAATGTCTTCCGCACCCCGGGAGCCCTGCTGCCCTCGCACGGACTCCCGCCCTTCGGGGCTAATATCACGAATATCGCCATGGGTGACGGCCTCTGCGGCACCGGAATGTTTGGCGGCGACCGCTGGAGTGTGGGGGTCAACCCCATGACAGCAGGTGAGTGGATCAGTCAGCCCAGGCTCCTCGCCACTTCTATCTCTACTAACCCGTATCTCGTATCTTGTGGATCCCCTACTAATCGCTGCAATTGGGAAAAGGCTTTGGCCAGCTGAATCAGTCGTCGCCGCTATCTTCCTCGCTGAACAGCGGCCTCAACTCGGGCATTAACATGGGCTCCGCCCTGGGGGCGGGCAGCTATCAGCACTACGGCCTGAATGCTCTGGGTAGGTGTTGCGTCAGGCCCTGAATCCCCTGCTCCCCCCACTCCATATCAGAATTATCTGAGCTATCACATGCCCCGGAAATTTTCCATCTGACTTTCGGGCGAACAAAAGACAAGCGTTGACACTTTTTCGGTTTTTTCATTGGTAATACTCGTATTATTTTTGTTTTGCTTTTGTCGTTCGTTTCCTTCTGCTGATGTATTTGCTTAGCTTTCGATACAATCCATTTCCAGTTCCAGTTCTCCCGACAATTGACCAGGCACGACACAATTTCTTTGAACTCATAACACTTTTTTTCGGTAGCCCCAAATATTGTGTGGTACGATATCGCATCACATAAGGTTTATAATGCCCTGGGCCGATGGATCGCTGGACCGCTGGTCGGGCTGCTTATTTGTTCGATCAATTAGCGAACAGTCGTTTAATTTTCAGGAACACCCGTACCCAAAGGCATTTCTTTGCTCTTCTGTTTCGTTTATTTGTTTTCGTGTAGTTGTGCTAATTGAAATTTTGGAGACATGTTTTTTTGGCTGTCAGCAGCAAAGTTTTCATTGTTACACTTTTTTGTTTGAATTTAAAATTTAAAACTTGAAATCGGGCGCTGCTTGCACCAATCACAGAGACAAAGGCGGCCATTAATCTGGGTTTTCTCCCTCCAGGAGACTCCATGATGTACCAGCACAGTGTGGGCGGGGTAGCCTGCGGGCCGAGCGGCTCCCCGAGCGCCACAACACCGCCGAACATGAACAGTTGCTCCTCGGTGACCCCACCGCCAATCTCCACGCAGCCAAACGCCAGTCAGAACGAGCTGAGCGGCGAGTCGATGGTGAGTTTCCTGCCAGTACCTAGCCGGGACACCCACCACTGTTAAGTTACATTGTCCTTTGCAGCCGCTCCACCAGCAGCAGCAACAGCAGACTCACCAGCAACAGCAACAGCAGACTCACCAACAGCAGCAGCAGCAGCAACAGACTCACCAACAGCAGCAGCAGCAGCAGACTCACCAACAGCAGCAGGTAACTACAACCCCTGGAGAGCTTTATTCCAACCCCCAGCTAAAGCTTTCACCGCTTATCTCGCAGATGGCTCCGCCGACCCCATCGCAGCAGCAGCAGCAGGAAGGACTCCACTGCCACCAGTCGATGCAGTCGCCTACAGACGGTGCCACCGACGAGGACGTGTGGCGAGGACATAGCATTGCAGCGCTGCGGCGGCGAGCCTCGGAGCTTAACGCCACGGCTATCCCATCGTACTTGCACCATGCCGCAGCCGCCCACAACAACTACGAGCATCACAATTCGGTGTACTGAAATTTGTTGAAAAGCTTTGAAAGCTTTTCGGATTACGGTTTTACCAATTGCGGGAACCATGACTTCTAAGGCCCGAACCCCAACAATTTGACAACCACTGGCAATGGAAGCGAATGGAAGCGAAGCGTTATAAGATAACCAAAACCTATGTTTAGAATATTGTACAATTTATGTGTTTTCGTTGTTTGTTTCTGATTTCTTCATCCAAGGATGACCGGAGAGGTACCCGGATTCCCCGGGAAGAGAGTGTATTTTAGACTTAAAAGACTATAATGAATGTAAACCATGTATACGAGAAACAAAACTTGAGAAGGCGGCAACCTAAGAGGAACCCAAGTTGTTAAAAGAAAACCATCTATATGAATGTATTCCAAAATAGAGTCATAAGCACACGCACATTCACATCCACACGGAAATTATAACTATTCCAGCATATACAATATATATATAGATACTAAATATAACATTTACTGTATGAGTATACGAAAATTGTAAAAATTAAATTGCGGAATAGAGAGAGTAGTCCTTCGATGAGTCACAATAATTTTTGGCAAGGGAACATCTCCAAGTTCTCCGCTTAGTTCGTACTTATTTAAGCATACTTATGCCTAGGAGAAGGAGTGTATGTAAGTAGACCTATACTTTTGTAAGTGTTGTTGTTTTTGTGTATTGGCAGTGTTCCGTTCAGTTGCTATCACTTGATCTAACCATACGATACCAACATATGCAATATAAAACGAAATAAAACTCAAACTATAGGAAAATACGTACGTCTGTTTGTGTCAGGCAGACGCGACGCGACTCGATTCTGAATCTGTTCTGTTTCAGAGTGCACAAATTTAACGGATTAATTTTACGATTACCAATTACAAATTACAAATTATACAAATACGATTAAAATTATATATACGTGCATACGATTATGGAATACTTGTAATAGACTTTCTTGTATCAAATAAGCCTAACTTTAAATCCAACTAAACAAAAACGAAAAACATTTAATATGTATGTAACTATGCGTATTATTAAATAGTAAACTAAATTAAATATTGAACGTGATTTGCATAATAGAAGAACACATTTAAAAAACTATTTACATGGAATGCAATACATATATGTACATACATACACGGCACTTGCAAGGCCCTTTTACCGGGAGTATTGAATACTTAGACGGTTTGGGTCGAACCAGTAGTATCATACGGTAGTCAGAGGTTGCTCAAAATACTTACAGTTCTATCCCAACGATCTTCTGCTATGGGTACAACGGCTGGCAGCAATTTCCTTACCTCATCTGAATCTGACCCGAAAGATGCAAGATTTCTCGTTCCCTTTGTCCATTCTGATGCAATTACAATAATTGAATGGGATCGGGTGGCAAGCTCCAGTGCCCGACTGCCAAACAAGTTTAAGCTGAAAATTGGCAAAATTGATAAAACTCTGACAGTCCACACACACACACAGGCTGAGTGGTTTGGCTGTGTGTGGCTACAGGGCAGAACGGCATTTGTCCATTGGCAATGACACGGGGTCTGTCATTCCAGTCTGTCTGATTGGGGTCAGAGAGCTGAGCATAGTAGACCAGACCAGACCAGACCAGAATTCGATCCGACTGCATACATGGGCTTATAAATTTTATAATGCTCGCATGACATTTGACATGCATATTGTCACGACAATTGGCCCATGGAGCCCGGTGTATGGTGCCTGGTGCCTGCTGCCTGCAGGTTGGAACCTGGGCAGAACCTGGACTGGGCGGAGCTGCAGCCTGCAGCCATGGACCCAACTTAATCACACTGATGGCAGTTTTATGCGATATGCTCAGACATAAACAGTTTAATAATACAAGTACAAACGAGCGGCAATTTTATATTCTGATGTGGAAGGTGGAGAGGAAGTCGGGGGCCCGGAGGATGACATGCTCGAACTCCAAAATTGATAGCTTGCCATCGCCATCGACATCGGCCTCCTCGATTACCTTGTCGGCAATCTGCTGGTGCTCCTCCGGACTGAGCTCGTTCCTGGTCATTGTCGTCAGGCAGGACATGAGGTCGGCATGCCCAATGAAGCCGTCCTGATCGAAATCTGCAAAGTTATGCCAGACATATGAGTACGTTTACACACATGATGTGAGTGGGTGAATGGGTGAAAGGGTGGCTCATTGGGCATTGGGTGGGAGGATGTCTTACAAAACTTGACATGTTCTTGCACAAAAGTCAAGTGATGTGTGCCAAACGAAGTTTGCTGTGCAACCTCCTACGTAGCCCCAGCCCCCCACATATTCGTATAGGTAATCGCTTGCTGCACGTTTCAATTTGTGTCAATCTAATAATGCACATAGAAATAAAGTGCAGGAGTGCAGTACACACTCTCTCTCTACCTATCCGGACTACCTTGAGTTCTGAAAGTTTACCCAAAAAGTGTTTCATGCACTCGACCTGAAAGACTCTTTGGACATATTCGATTGGTTCGTCCCTGCCTCTTCTTCTCTGTGGATTTTCGCCCATTAATTTCGAGTGCCAAGTGCACAATCAATTTGCACAAGGTTTTGCTCCTACTTTTATGGAGGCATTTTTGAGATTCTAATTTAAATTTCAATTAAAATGCTTATTAGAATTTATTGCTGTCCTTGAACCTTGGCCCTGCACCAAGGACTGGCGACAACAACTGTATGCGTACTGTTGTTGCCTGGCACGGCGCCACAAATTACAGTGCCGCGAGTGCGGGCCATGCGTTCCATGTAAATGCCAGAGACACAAAGGCACACACTACAACACCAACAACAACAATGAACACGCTCTGCGGAAATGCATAAACAAAGGCGAAAAATGCTGCCCAACACCAGAAGAGCCCCTCCTCTCCTTTCCACACCCACAGCCGCATCGCAGAAGTAGGAAGGGAGGAGATGGAGTTGCAGCTGGAGCTGGGGCTGGAGCTGGGGCTGGAGCTGAGGCATGGCTTGAGCTGCACCACAACCAAATTGCCCGAAAAGAGGAGGCCAACACTTACCATAAATTTTGAAAGCGTAGAAAACTTTAATGTCTCTCGGCGCCTGCTCGCTGAAGACAGAGAGAGCGTCCAGAAAGTCCTCAAACGACAGATTGCCCTGGCCATCGCGTGAGAAGGCCTCGCCTGGAAAATGGAAGATTGGTTAGGCGTGGAGCGTGCTCCGCTTATGCATGCTTTGGTCCTTTGTTACTCACAGATGCGACGGCGAAAGGGATTCTCACGCAACTCGGGCATCTTCTCAATGCACTCGCAGGGAACCTTGACACTCGAGGCCTGACCCTCAGTCATTTGGCGGGGCACCAAATCCGGGCGTAGCTCACGAAACCGTTTGTGGACGCTGTAACAGACGAAGTGTGAGTGGAAGGGTGCACGGTATTTTGGGTTGGATGCGATGGCAGGCTTTGTGTCCATGAGTCTGTTCTCTGTGCGTGTATATCATCCTTTTTTTTGTGTGTTGTTCTTGAACAATAGGATGCTGCCAACAATGGCAGGCGGTGCTTTGTGTGGGTCATGTGAAATAAAATAGTTCAAGCTTATTATGAAGACACAAATGGCCTACCGCAGGATCTCCTTGCGCGTGAAGAACGTGCAATCCTTGCCGAACAAATGGGAGGAGAAAGGCAATGAATGTAAAATAGAATTAAGGTCGTTCCCTTTCAAAACAGTACATCTGATGGATTGCCCACCTGGTAGTCATCCAATTGCTGCTCGGTGAATGTCACAACTTTGTTGCCCATCGCTCTTGTCCACGCCGATGCCGTTTGTGCAGACGTCGACGGCCAAACTGGTAAGTCCCGAGTGCAGAAACCGACTGACACTGGCCCATGGCGGGGGCCAGCGCCAACTTCCTCCTAAACCATAAGTTTGCATAGCTCCGGTGGCCCCGCTCTGGACACATCCTGCGGCGCCTTTCCAGCTTATGGCGCCCGCATTCGCATGGAAATTAATTAAGGAGTGTTCACGGCGTGGCATTCCATTTTCGTACCCTGTTCTCGAAGCTCTAAAAGGGTATATTGAATTCCGAAAATGTATGTCGCAGGCTTGCAGCACGATTACTACCCGACTACCAAATACTGTCACAATCAGATCATTTATACGGACTACCATTGTCTGAATGCCAATAAGTAGGATTCCGCCATATTCAACTCATTCATTCATGCAAGTATTCAGCGACTGCAGGATAAATCTTAATAACGGGTATCTAATTGTTGAACTCCTCGGCTATTGCGATGTTACTTAATTCCACATGTTCCCGTACAACCATCCTGGCACCGCCCTCATTCTCACCACGGTTAGTGCCACTGGCAGGGCGCCGTGCCGTGTATCCTGTGGTTTGTTTGCCGCTGCTGCCTTTTTCGCTGTCAAGCTGCGGTGAAAACCGTTGTTAGAGGTGCGGCCCCGGCCCGGCCCAAGCCCAGATCCTGGCGAGAGCTTCGAAAAAGAGCACGGAAAGCAGCGGAAAAAAAGGACTAAATTGATGTAGCACGGCAAACTGTAGCACAGTTATGTGCGCTCGACAGTCAATGCGTGCGGCTTTTAGTTGTGAGCAAACTTTATTAATTAATTTAATGCTCGGCAGCACTTTTCAATTTCACATGTCTGCTCTATGAATTTATGAAAGTGACTATCGGGCTTCGGATCCAAATCCAGCACAGAGAGCTTCGTTAGAAAGTGATGACCCAGCAGGGAGACGAGCCACGGCTGCAGCAGTTCAGCTCTAAGGCTACGCGAGCTGCGGCAAAAGGATTGGGAATTGTATTACGATTACCAGAAACCGCTCCACTGTGCGGATGATACTTACTCCTGGTCAGCGCCTCCATCCGACTCGCAGTCGATTTTCACTTCCTGGAACGTCAACATAATCGAGCAGTCCAAGGCCGTGGCTCCCAGCAAGTACGCCTGCTCCGGCTGGAGTTCATCGGTGCCCGGCAGGGCCAGCAGTCCTCTGAGCGCGTCATACGTGGGCCGCGAGTGCCGGGCGTAGTTGGCTCGCCACATATAATCGAAGTGGTGCTGCAAATGCCAAGAAACGTTACCTTCCGCTAAGCCACTTGGCTGCCACTTGCTCCACGGGCCATTTAGCCGCCTTTTCGAGTCCACTTCAGTACGGGCCTCGCCTGCCGCCCCTCTTGCCTGTCAAATGGCAAAAGCCATGAGAAAAAGCCAACTGAGACTCCGGTTATCTGCCATGGTCGGCTATGAAAATAAACAAGAGGCGGGGCAGACAGTCAGCGGCAACCGTACTGCGGGGACTGAGGGGGCACTGAACGGGGACCGAGCGGGGGCTAGCTTACCTTTACCAGCAATTGCAAATTCAAAATTTTTTGCAACACACAATTTTTTGGTAAGCGAAATATTTCCGCTTTGTTGATTTGTTCTTCACGTTGATTCTCATTTTCATTCTGATTCTGGTTCTCATTCCGACTTGTACTCGGGGTTGGCTGTGTTTCCGCTTCCGTTTTTGTTTCCGTTTGAGTTGCCACTGCCAACACATTGCCGCACTGTTGTTGGCTTACTGCTCCTGCAGTTGTTTCCACTTCTATTTGGGTTGGCTGTGTGTACCTTTGGGTCGTTGGTTTTTCAGCAGCTGCTCTTGTCCTCCTGGAGGATTGACCAGCATTGACAGAGTCAGCATGCCACTTCTCGGCATCGGCATCCTCCGCCCTGGCAACATTAGCGGCGCCAATTCCAGCAGCTACAACAGCTCCAGCTTTTGTCTCCATTTCCCCAATTGAAACGCGACTCTGGCTTTGACTCTGGCTGCCACTGCGGTCCCGGTCGCAGCTATGCGCTGCACTCACCCCACCGCTGTATTCCCTGAGCAGGCAGGCTACCAGCAAATGTTTTATAAGCACCATAATTTCACTGGAGAATTTCAGAGATTTTATGGCGATGGCAATGGCGATGGCGATGGCGTTCGTGTTGGCGTTGCCATTGGTACAATTTTGTTTGTTTGAATTTTCAATGCGCATTCCCGTTCCCATTTTGTGTGGTCGTTGTCAACGTTGTGCCAAAAGGTGTTGAGACGACGCAGCCACAGAGAACGGCAGGAAGATAGAAGTTTGGGGAATAAGTGAGAAAAAGCTGGGAGGCTAGGCTAGTCGGGGGAATGAGAATGCAACCAGGAGTAGGGCAACGGCAATTTCGGCATTTGGCACTCGAGAATTTGTGTTTGGCTTTTGCTTTCTGCATTATTTATTGAATATTTGCGAATTCGCCGAATTTTGGAAGACTTTTCTTCTCTGGCTAGCTCTTGTTATGGAAATTAATGTCAACGGGCAGGGAATAAGCCAAAGAGAATGTAATTATATGAAAAGATAAAATATTTTTCAAGAAGATATGCTGCGTCGAAATGAATGGAAATTTGAAAGGATAATCCGAGGAAAGCCACCAAAGGAGACCTATCTTTGCAATTCGAGCAGACTTTTATTTTATGAGTGTTAAATGTGACCTTTGACTTGTCGGCGTATAGGAACACGTACATTTCTTCTGCCTGTCATGCGAGAGTTGTCATTCTCTCTGCCCATCAATTTCCCTTGGCATTCTCATCACTCAGGATGGGGCTGACTTACCCGGGAAAGACACGCGAGTGCAATTCATCGAAGGAAATCGAATTCGCGTGATCGCCATAAATTAAATTGCCGTCCTGAAACACACGTAAATTATTTTGCGGGCAGGCGAGAAGTGCATGCAGGGCATCAAGCATACGACTGGGTACGCTAAAAAGAATATGGAGGAAAAACAATGAAAACAGATCACAGCATGAAAAGCCGTTTATCCGCGTACGGTGCGAATCATAACTCTAAGGATTCAAGAGTAAGTCTTGCTAAAGCATATTTGTTTCGACTATAAGCCAGTAATTCATCAAATATGTACGTCACGAATCGAGCTCACACTTGAGTCAACATTTGCATTAATTCATGAATAGACGATTTTATTAGTTTAAGCATTTTGTTAGTTGATTTATGGACTATGAAGGGATATTGAATGGGAGTCTTGATTTATCTATGCGGTTATCCGAAATAAATCAAATCGAATATACTAGTACGTAAAATGCTATCCAATCTAAGATGAATGTTTAATTTAACTGTGGTAGCACTTTCGTATTTATTTACTCTTTAGAAGGAACTGTGGTTTCACGAGTTGCCACTATAGTTGCGGCACGCACCGGCCTGTTCATATGCATAATACTATTAAAACTTATGCATGCATGTATGTACATATGGGATATATAAAAGATGCTGGCAGACAAAAGAGGAGCAAAAGGAACGGCAACAATTTTCGTGGGGCCATAAAGGAGGTTGCAATGGTGGATGGTAAAGCTTTCGCTATAGAAATGGAAGGGGAGGTGTGGAAAGTGGCAAGTGGGAAGCGGAGGCGTAGCAGGCGGTAAACCGGAATGAAAGCGCAAGCAAATTGAATTTTGTGCACGGATGCACGCATGACTTGAAACAGCGGGCCGCAAATAAACGAATGAGGGGAGCGGAGACTGGTTTCGGATTGGGATTGCAGTTTAAGTGGACCAGACCTGGCTCAGGCCAGGACGAGGCCGAGGTCAGTCAGGGTCCTGGCATATAATAAAGGAAAAAGAATACAGAGCACACAAAAAGTGAACTTGGTGGAGCAGACAGGAAGGAGCAGGCACTAGCCGAAAGTGTTGGAATTATGAAGCACGACAGGACACGCAAATGGAGCAGATGGAAATTTATGACTCAATGTTCGTGCCAAAGAAGCGGCTGTTCCCTGCTCCTGGGTCCCTGCTTCCCACAGGAGATTCGATGACATACCCGGAGAATAACTCTAGAGGACAGTAGTCGCCCAATCGTGTGATTTTCCCGTTGCGTAGCTGTCGGAAAGAATCGATTGAAAAACTAAGGGCGTCTCTCCTATCTCCACTTCCGATGACTCACCTTTAAAAGCTGCATGCCACAATAGCGACACCTGCACTTGCCTTGGGTCGCCTTCTCAACTCCTACTGCCTCCTGATCCTTCTCGCCCCTGCTCCTCTTTGGCATTGTCTCTGCTCCGGCTGGCATTAAATCAAATAAATCGTTGACATCACTTGCCAACTGGTGCCAGCCTTGTTTGGGTTTTATTTCGATGGCATATGTATCGCCCAGACGATGGACACCTCTTGTTCCTGCCCTTGCCGTTGCTGTTGGTCCTGCTCCGGTTCCTGCTGCTCCTGTGCCATCTCCTGTTGTGCCCTTTGCCTGCAAAATTATATTGCTTGGCTTATTTGCTCTTTTTTGCTGCCCTCTGGTGCTGCTCCGGCAGTAAATGGAGTAAAAGGGAAGTAGCCCGTGCCCGTGCCCGTGCCCGTGCCCGTGCCCGTTCCGTCATGTACAGCCATGAAATATTATGCCTGCCGTGTACCGCCAACTTTTGCCCCGGCGTTGATGCCATTTTGACTTGAAAATGCAACGACAAGCGCAGCTCGAGCCCAACAAAAAAAGGTAGACAAGTTAAGGACGAGCCTTGAGACTATACGATATCCGGTACTCAGATTCAGAAGATATATTCAAGGTATGGTCAAGATACATTCGATGGGTAATATTCACGTTATATACAAAATTTCAGATGAAAAAGACTCGTGGATTCTTGATCTGCTTAGGCATCATAGCAGTCCTTAAATGTCCACACGATCGAAGCGTTTGCTAAGGAATACAGACGGACTGAGATGGATCCAATGTGAGGATAACCGATTCTTGTAGCCTGTTACATCCATTCACACGAATGCAGTACACTCCCTGGGATGCACGAGTACAGGGTATATAAACTTCATGAATAAGTGGGAATGGGCAGGGAATGGGCAGGGAATGGGGCTATAGGTAGGACGATGGGTCAGGTTATCGCCGCTCCTGGAGTTGTTGTAGCTGTTCTTAATGTTGTTGTTGGCATTGTGACATAAAACAAAAGTTGTTGCGCTGATTGTATGATGAGTTATGGAGCCGTGGGGCCGGGCACGGAATGGAGTAAAGGACAGTGGAGTGGAGGGGCGTAGAATGGAATGAAGTGTTGTGTAGTACAGGTGGCAGATGGGATATTCTCGGTTCTCGGTTCACAGCTTGAAATTGAAAATTAACATTTAAAGCCGCAATTAAGAGGTTTTTTTATTCGGGCTCCTTGGTTTTTTTCTGGCTCGTGGCTCATGGGTGATCCGGATCCACCGCTCTGTAGTACGCCAACAATATGGCGTTAGTTATGGCCACACGTTATATGTATATGCAGTTTTCTATTTTTTTCCTCCTGGTTCGCTGGTTGTTTGTTTCCTTTGCTTGCAATTTTATTTCGGTCAATGCTTTGGCACCAAAGCCATAAATTCATTATGGACC